CACTTGAGCGCGATTGGCCCTGGCGGCCTTGACGCTGCTCCCAATGGAGTACGACCTGCTGGCGGATCCCAGCAAGGGTGATCGCCTCGATCGCAGTCTTGCCCGTCGCAGGCTTCAGGCCAGCGATGTAGAGCTGGATCATCGGATCCATGTTGGAAGGGAGCTTGGCCATGAGCATCATGCCCTTGACGTGGTTGGCAACAACGAACTTGTTCGTCTCGAGACGTTGGAAGTACGCCTCGAACTTGTCCAGGTTGGGGACAGGGTTCGAGTCGGCCGGAATGGAGAGAGCAAGGGCAGCCCGGAAGTCTTGGTAGACAGCCGGCACGCCAGGCTTGCCATAGGTGGTCTCGAGGTAGTCCCAGATCCCCTTGGCTGTCGTCTGAGACGACACAGCGCTGTTAACGCTGGGGGCAAGGCGAAGGCTGATGTTGCCTTGGGCCTTGAGGTCGGCATCGAGCCAGGCCTTTGCTTCATCATCAGCAAATGTGCGAAACCGTGCCAGCGGCAATGCCACGTGTGCCCAGAATTGTAACGCCCAAATTGGCAAGCAGGGGATTGGAATACATGAGCCCGCCATTGTCAACCTTGGTGGGGTGAGGCGATTTATAAGGCTGTCGGGGACACTGATAGCAATGACATTGCATACAATAGGCTCGCCATACATATATCATCCAATAGCTATTCTTTGACATGCGTACAGAAATACAACCATATGTGCACAGGCCCAGGTGATACCGGAGGCCTCTACATTCGCTGTCGCTCAAATTGCTGCACGTTCAGTGCAGGCACAGCGTTGAATCCTTTGCCTGCGGCAACGCTCTACCACCTTGCCCGTCACCACTACCACCATCTCTCGTCGTGTACCGCTCTCTGCTAGCACGCTTCGACCAGTTCTAAGTCTCTCTCCTGCCAGATCCATCTCACACTCAGTCTCCTTCAGCCCCCCAAGACCACGACTACTTGCATGACCAGCGCATGATCAGTGTCTGACGCTACTGCGTCACTATCCAAGTCATCCATGCCTCCATCAAATGCGATTGCGAACACCATTTCCTCCGAAGGTGGGTAGGAGGACGTTGTTGGGACGTTCAAAGAAGTAAGTGTTGTCTCCTCAAAAAGCATATCAACGGTGCGCGGTCATGGTTGTCCTGGCCGCAAGAGCGTTGGGTTAGGGTCAAGGCAGCAGATCGTAGCCCAGCTGCCATACATTGGCACGCGTGATGTCATAGCTCACGACCTGTCATGGTCTTTGTCATAGCCTCAAAAGCCGGGGCGAGCACGCAGATAAGTCGTCGCTCCTTTCCTTGCCTCTCCCACCATCCAGCTCATCACCTGCTCAAACAAAATCTGCTAGTGCGGACCTGACTGGACCACTTGCTATAACAGCAAGCAGACTATCGTTGCACTCCAATCGTATGGTCTCGCGCGCGCCACGACCGTTACACTTACGACATTTGTGTAGACCCTCATACTGACTGTACTGTACTTAGCAGCTCGGGTGTTTGCCTTATGACGGTCAGTCGTGCTGCCTACTCTCTACCAGCTGCCGTTCGTGCCGATGCTGCTCATGTCCTTTGCAGCGCATTTCTTGCGAGGACAATGGATGCCGCTGCTGCTCACGCGCCACTGGTCACTCGTCATTCGTGTGTTCTACTTAGCCTTGACTACTGTCAGTATCTGGGAATTGGCGGAGAGCGTGTTTGACTTCACTGTACCGGAGGTTCATACTGACCATGATTCACTGAGAACTCGTGCTAACAGTCAGGTACATTTCATCTGGGTTTCTGCGCATACAGCTGACACCTGCCTCGCATTGGTCTCTGGCATCATGTCTATGGTCGCGTACCTCAAAACTTTGCGTACGCCGAGCTGCGCAACCCTCCACCCTCCTTGTTGAACAGGCGCTGGTTTACACAGCTTGCCTAATACAGCCGTCACAAGATATGGAACGGCACAGCCGGTTACTGCAATAACCGAGGCTGTACTACTCATGTGGTACACACACAGCTTCGCTGTGTACGCACTGCTTCTCTGTGCGACTGTGCATCCTGGGAATGTACTGTATAGTACTACGTAGCCACAGATGTACAGTAGTATATATAGGGGACCTCTGTACCCCCAATCTACGGTTCAGTTCACTCGAACATCTCCTCTCATCGCTCTTACAAGCCTCTTACAATCAACAAACCTTCTAGGTGAGTTGCAGGCTATCCGCTGTCGTTGCCACCCATGGGAGAGGCCTTCGCCCCCCGGGTTCAACAGGTTATGAGCCCTGCTCGACGCTGCAGAATCTGCGCCGCTCACTGCGTGCTGCGATCTGTAAGCTCGCAGCTCACCTGGATCTTTTGCC